TCAGGACCTCCCGTGTCCCTCATCCATAACTCCTGAATTTAAAGCTCGGATACCAAAGTTTTTCCCATGCACTAACAATGCATGTTCTTTGTGTGAGTTATTATTAGTTTTTTTTCCACACAGTTAGTGCCACTTTATTCCCAAACTCTTGTTAATTGTATCGAGAAATATTAAATAAAGCTTAATGTCAAGGCCTGGACTTAAGCATTTTGATGAGAATAACTGTATATTGTGAATATAGGCTACAGAGTATACTGTATACATTATAAGATAAGATATACTTTATATATCACACAGAGTATGTACAGTATATATTTTTTTACATTAGTACTGTATACATTTTTACATTTTCTCCTGGAGGTGTGCCGCAAGATTTTTTCAGTGAAAAAAGTGTGCCTTGGCTCAAAAAAGGTTGAAAAACACTGCCTTATTTGTCCCACAGTGGGAAATTTCAGTGCTGCAACACCAAAATAAAAAAATTGTTTTGTTTTGTAACTTTTTGTTAACCCCTTTTTATTTGTATTTTACATAATAATTTTTACTTTAAATTCCTGGCAATACCTTTTACTCAGTGGTAGAGCATTTGACTGCAGATCAATAGGTCTCTGGTTCATATCCGGATGCCCCCTACTGGGTACTGTACTTTTAGATTGTAACTATAGAATAAATAAAAAGCATTGAATTGAAAGCCTCTGCTGATATGAACTTCAAAGAGGCAAGATAAAAAATGTTTTAGGTATATGGGAGGATATTCCCAATTTTAGGAAAGAAGCGCCCTCTCCACTTTTTGAACAAAACTCTCTGGTCTTGTTTGACGAGCACGTATCACCAGAAGGATTGACAATTAGGAGGACCAATAGTCTTGATGATCCAACAGGAAGTAGAAAGTCCTCCTATTCATTGTTGTTTAAGATAACAATGTGAAACGATATATTTAGTTCTTACAACCAATCTTGCATAGATATTTTGCGCATGCCTTTATATCTATATATTTTTTTAAACACTTTTTTCCTGTTACTTAAGATGATAAATAAAGACTATACCATGGTCATAGTAAAGTGATCCAAACAAGAGCCTTATTTAATTTAGTCAAGTCTATGTGGAAAACTAGTCAATAGAGTTCAAAGTGAGAGTTTCTGAGTGACAAACCACCACATTAGTCATGGCTCTAATATGTAGAAAAGTAACGGTTACATATAACATCTTATAGCTCCCTCCGTCCTCTGCTTTCTCCTTTATCACACCAACTTTTTCATCTGCTATAATTCCACTCATTTCTCCTCAATGCAGACAGACCTCCAGAGCCACAGAGGAAACACAGAGGAAGCCATATAGACCACACTTCCTGCCTATGTTCCACCGGGTCCATAATCACTGTCTATTACTCGTCATTTCTCATGTTTTGATGCAAACTGCAGCGCTGTAATGTGATTGGACGACCCCTGGCGTGTGCTTTATCCGGGCCGGGACCAGAACGCACATCAAATTACCCGTCTGCGTCACCATGGCTACGCAATGCCGTCTAATCGTGTTAGTTTGCAATCAGGAAGGCTGGCTGCGTGTGTGCGGCGGGACATATTCACATAGTCACTGCTGCTGGTTTTGATGGCATCTGAAAACAGTCAAATAGTACAGAAAGGATCGCACATGATCCAGTAGAAATATGGTCGATATTTGCAGTTTTCGGCACATCCACCAGGGGGAAGATTAAAGGCTTATTAACCGAGCGTGAAGTCTGTGCAAAAAGGCCAAGGTCTGATATTTCTCTGTACAGGCCGAGCAAGCGAGGTTAATACATGTTTTATTATATGACTATTTTTAATTTATGCAAATATCGATCTCCAACTTGGTTTTCCTAATCGTGTTTTTAGCTTTCTGATCTGAAACAAAGTTGTCAATCTCTTCTTGACTGTTAGGAGTTGTGTTTTTGTCGTTATTTCTGTAATTACTTCCTCTGGCTCTTCGAACTCGTCCGGATAATAGGAGAATACTCCCAGTCGTCGCCCATTATTTATTTTTTTACCGAGGAAAGATATCAAATGTGATACGCGCTGTGGACCGATTGTCATGGTAACGATCCGAGATGGGAAAATATCAGACCGCAAATCAGCCAATCAGAGCGCGCGTACTGTCCAAGTCATATAATAAGTCTTGTTATCGTCTGGATGCCTACAGAATCGCCTTAGAATTTAATTGCATTCAAATTTAAAAAGGACTATTCATTCGTATAAACTCACAGGAGAAATGAAAACTAAAAACTAAAAACTAAATATTATTCCATAAATGATAAATATATATATATATTTCCCCACTGAGATCTCAGCTCCTGTGGACTCACCACCTGCAGGAGGATCAGTGAGGGGCTGGTGCTCTGTGTACTGGGTGGCATCTCTGGCCACCCCCCCGACCCAGAAATGGATTAAGGGGAAGAAAATGGATGGATGGATGGATTTCCCCACTGTGGGACGAATAAAAGACCTTCTCTCTTTATTTTTTCTGGTTTCAGTTAGTTATGAGTTATGAAACAATATAAAAATAAATAAATATTGGTCATCTTCACTGGTATTTTTTCTTTCTTTTCAATTTTACAATCTATCAAAATAGAAGTGTTAATCTATGAAAGTTGTAAGAGCACAAGCAGCATATTCCCATTTTTTCTTTTCTTATCCATCATCTCACTTGTCTACCCTCACAATCATAAAATTGTTCAGTTAACGACAATGAACTTTGATTTTTGCTTTTAACTGTGAACTCTACAATTAACACTTTTCAATGTTTGTGCAAAAGGGATAATCTGAAATAAGGAATAAGATAATTATAACACAACTGTTAGTGACCCAGAATCAGGTTGTGCGAACAGAACTGGCTCATAACATGGGAGTATAGCTCAGTGGTAGAAGATTTGACTGCAGATCAAGCGGTCTCCATTTCAAATCTGGATACCCCCATAGCGGCTAAAGACCACAATTTTAATTTGCAATTGTTAGTTAAAAAAAATTGTTATAATATTACAAAAAAAAATTACATTCAAATGGAAATCCGCTGCTGCTGCACCCGGTAAGACACAATGTTAAGATGCCAATGACCATTTGACATTTTTAATTGATTAATTATCATTCAGCACTTTGTGCATGTTTAAATATTTGTTTAGTGTTTTTACTGTTGTCTCGTGAGAACACTTGGCACTTTTGCACAATGTATTTTTTTAACAAATGGCAAATGCAGCTCGCGGAAATTCAATTTAGAAGACGTCAGCCAAAAGCTACCCCCTCCAGGCCGGCTCGCATCCCCAGCCTATCGCACAGCAAACGCCCCCTTCCAATCATCCGTGCCGGCCAGGCCAGCCGCTTAAAAGCGGAGAAACTCCCACTTCATGGCCTCCCGAAGCCTTGCAACCACCGCCTCCCCTCCTCCTCCTCTTCACCCTGCCTCCAATCTGCCTCCAATCTGCTTCCCGCTGCCAAAATGCCGCCACCAGTGCCTAGGTCCCGGGGGATTGCACGCGCTCCATCGCAGGAGCCTCTTCGACTGAAGGCCGCACCGGGGCCTAGGGCGCCAAACCACCTCTCATTAAAATACTCAAAAGCATTTTCGTTTTCTCGTCTCTCCAAATTGAAATGAATTAAACGTTGAACCTCAATGAAATTCCAAATCTCTGTCCTGATCAGTTTTCCGTGTTCCGTGTCAACAGGTGAAGCAGCAGTGAGACTGTGGATTTCCTCTTATCACAGCGACAGAGGCATGACATGCTCTTTACACAAACACAACCCACTGAACCAAACTAAATGGCTCTGGACACAAGGAAGCAACAGTCACGCTGCTCTCCAAAAACTCAAATGCAAGACTGTTTTTAATACCTCAATGCAGATCAGTGATTGGTGTGAATTCAATATTTCTTATAGTAATTCAAGTTACCATAAGTCTCACCGTGACATCACCTGCTCGTCCCCATGGAGACAATGGTCCTCATTTATCAACATTGTGGTTGAACTGTTGTGTTATATGGCGGAATGTTGGGGAGAATATGTATTTCTTTAACAAAACACTGAATACCTTCTTGTATTTTCTGATATATTTTGTTACCTCGTCCCATATTCCAGAGAACATTCTGAAAATGTCTCTGCTCATTTGATGTTAATATTAAGAGATCCTTTATTCGAAATGAGGAGCACAAAAACACATTCAACAAAGTAAGTGAATATTGAATATAGCACAACTCTATACATGAATGATAAAATAACAGATGTATTTAAGTATTAACCTATAGTATAAGTATACATCTATAGTATAAGTATGCACCTATAATACTCTTGACACAGTAGAAATCCTAAAACTTTGTTCAGTAAACTTTTAATCTTGCTTTTGAGGATTCAACATGCAATTATTCTTGGTTGGCCCTGAGTCAAAGTGCGTAAATTTACCAATTACAGACACGGGGTATAGCTCAGTGGTAGAGCATTTGACTGCAGATCAAGAGGTCTCTGGTTCAATCCAGATGCCCCCTACTGGTTGCATGAGAGCCTGAATTTTAGTTTATAAAAGTCTCTACAGTGTTAATCAAAGCACAATAATAATCATCTAATTGGAAATTCTATGCTGCTATGATGAACGAGGTGAGACACAAAACAGCTATGTAAATTGACCAGTAGAACTGATTAGAAATGTCATTACATGTACTTGAATACCCCGCAACACTATGTTATATGTTCAACAACAGAGTTGATGAATATTGTATGTCCTCGATATGTCAGTGGCCGTGCTTGCATTCGTGGACCTGTTGTAAATTTGAGGGATTGGGTCAAGGTTTGAGGTAGAATTTGCTGGTTATAATCTTGTCACATGATGAATTAAACCTGACTTTTACAGCAAAAATATGTTCTGTCAGAAAGCTCACACTTAAAATGTTGATAAAGTTATTCAGCAATTGTATCATCATTCTGAATTTCCTGAGCAGTGAATGAACCAAAATGATATTGTGTGATGGTGTTTTGTGTTTGCAGTGTGATGAGAAGGAACAAGACGAACCCAGCAACAAATAATAATAATGTGAGAGTGTCATTTGAACACAGCCGTCCGCCGATGAGTCAATGATGAAATAAACAGCAATAACTACATGAAACACAATTGTAACTGATTATTACACGATTCTAAACTAAAAAATGTCTTTCTCACAATTATTTTTCAGTAGTTTTTCATTCACCCATGTGCATTCATTGGAGTTGGAAAGGGAGTCTTCAATGTTTTTAATCAGATGGATTGGCATGTTACACTAGAGGACTATTCCAAACCTGTTTATAGAAAATGTTTTTTTCATGACAGAGACTTCCCAACATTGGGGGTATTGCTCAGTGGTAGAGCATCAAATCCGGAAGACCCCTGGATGTCATTGTTTAAAACTAGAATCCTATAGTCTGGCTCTTAAATCAACTTTTGTTTAAAGCAAGAAGAAGAAGCCAGAAAACTAAATACATTTGAACTAGAACTACTTTGGTTTGTTAATGGTGGTTCAAGTTTCCCATTTGAGAAAGGAATGGTCCACAGTATCTATTGCTGATTGGTAAAATGTCAATAAGGTCGAACATGATTGTTGTGGCCTATTTGAGTTTGTTCATATTGCACATTCAATAGATCTAATTGTCTTTCAGGTAAACTAGTTCAATGTTTTACTTAGTTTCTTTGTTATTTGGTCCACTTTTGTTGTTTTCCGTTGTTCAATTGGTCCAAATTTGAAACGAATTTAAAATTGAAAATACAATCCAAGTTATACAATCAGTCGATGCAGTTTTATAGGTGATGGAAGAGTCAATTTCTCAGAGCCGAAGAATTGAACAATGAAATTACCCCATTATCTATTTTTCTTTCCTCTTTATCCACACCATGTGTCTGTATAAATTCTACTTACAAACGTATTTGTTATATTGGCTCGATTCATAAATTAATTTTAAGTATTTTGCGCTTATTATATTAAATTATTCTGAAGACCGTGATGAGTGAGTATGGAGCATAATGAATCCAGCAGTGATATCATTGCCCTGAGTGCGGCCGCCTACAGCCCTCTCCACGGCCGAACAGAACGTACTATTCTCAGCTCCTCACCGCTCACTTAAACCGTTATTTCTAACTATAATACAAATAATCATTACTGTGATGGGCTTCGTTTTATGCTTTTAGTTGTTCTTAATGTCTACTTGGCTGTAAAAGGCCTGCAGTCACATCTGGTCAGTAAAGCAACTAATGTTAAGTAATATGGACAATTTATGACAAAATCACTGTTTTTAAGTGATCATATGTGGCAGGAATGGCGCCCTCTGCATTTGACCCACCCATAAATAGTATTGTGGACTAAATTTGAGATGCACAATGTGAGTCAGTAGGAGTCGCTCTACAAATGAAATAAACCTTCTTACTTATTCTTATTTATTTAGGGAGATTTTTGCACCAATTACAAATGTATTGTGTCAAAATAATTGGTTTAAATCAGCTCTTCTCCAGTCATACGTCCTATTTATATGAGTCCTTAATGAAGTCTAGATTAATAAAAACTAAAATATTATGCTAAAGTCAGATCTTTTGTACTTCTTTAAATCCTGAAGTCAGAGATTTTGCTTCTCTATTATGCTAATGTTGGAAATTTTAGACTTTATTACCCTAAAAGTAAAGATCCTTTGTTATGCCAGATTTGATTTTAGTCTTGAGCTATTGTTCATTTATCTTGTGCTGTCTGCCCCTCATTCCTACTATTCCGTAACTGGCAAAGCAACACTGAGCTTTCCCCACTGTCGGACAAAATAAACATCTTTTTATCTTAATCTAAATTCAATATCGACTTCCTTCTTTCAGCAAAATCCGTTAATCCAGATTGAACGCAGAGGATTGTTGTGTCTGAGTTCAGTGGCACAGCACATGTTTATAGAATATTCTAGCACATGACTTTCTAACAAACAGACACAGCACATATGGATTTCTCTCGCTCTCTGCTCCTGTGTGGGCTGGGTGTCCAAACTTTTGAACAGAGAGGGCACACATACAGCACACTTTACCTGTGGCTCTTTCACCAAGTATCACCGTAACATTATCAATGCTTTCACAGTCACGAGGGGAAAGATTACGGCAATTATATAAAAATAAAATGCTTTACATGAAAAGAATGTGGTAATATTGAGAGAGAGAATCGTGTTTGTCAGCGCACCTGTACTTCAGAACACGCAACGTTAACATTTTACATAACAGATGTTTTTAGATATTATGTGACTAAAATACAGTCATTGTGACCATTCCCATTGCAGTTCAATAGCATGACCTGGTCTCATCTTTCATCAAAAAAATGCATGGGGTAAGTGAGAAGAGTCTGCAACAAAGATTCCTGCTGAGGTTAAGACTTTTTAAGTAAGTAAGTGAGTAAGTAAGTAATCTTTTTTTGTATAGCATCTTTCACAGACCAGAGTCACAAAGCGCTTTACAATTATTATTTTTTCTACGGGGGGCATTTTGTCTCTCACTCCACACAGAGATAGAAGCAGGGTAACTTTATTTTATCATACTGCGTTTGAATGTGATGATGTGTGTGTGTGTGTGTGTGTGTGTGGTTTGGAAATTCAACTGTTCAAACAAAAGCACTTAAGGCCATGGGAGTTAGCAAACATCCATCTATGCAACAGATTTTTGTGTGGAGACTGTTATTAGACAAGCAAAGAAAATCACCTCAGACCCCTTTCATGTTCTTTACCCTCAGTATGAGTTTCTCACATCCGGCTGCCGCTACACAGAGCCAACTATAAATAAGAAAAGATGCCTCAACCGGTAAAATAACCCATTCCTTCTGATATCTGTGAACCTCCTGCATGCACTCTATGTCTGTGATACTGTATGTCTTGTGTTCTGTACAATGCAGTAATCATAGTTTGTCCGAATAAATGATGAGATTATGCGAAAATTGTGCAGGTATAAAATAAATCCTATGAATGGTCTTATGTCGGTTTTCAATGTAGCAGTCTGTGAGCCCAAGACAAATTTACCCCGGGACATAATAAATAAATCTTAAATCTTGAAAATGCTGTTATCAAATTGAAATCACAGTTTGAGTTTAGCAAATCTCAAATCCAGCAAAAAAATACTTTACTTTACTGCTTTAGTAAGAGGATAAAAGTCAGCAACAATATAATCTGTATTATTCCTTTCATAATTCTAAACTCAACAATTCAGTCTTCCATCAAAGTGAAACTGTTTGATACAGCCCTGCACAAAATGTATACTCAGTCATGCTTATATATTTGTTGCTGATATTATACAGTATATTTAACTGATTTGAAGACATTATTGACAACTGAAATTAATCAAAACATCTCAATTTTAAGTCAGTTTGATTTACATTGAAGCATGGCTAATCACTTCGCAACATACAGTATCATATTGAATTTAGAAACATGGCTAACCACTGTCTCGCCAACTCAAAAAGTGTATACAGAAAGTTCCACACACACTTGGGTGTTTGACTTTTGTTATTGGAGAGTATACTAGAAATCTTTCAGACAGAAAAATCAGCAAATACAGTATAATCGCAATCAAGTTTGTTTAGATAATTTACCAAATGTGCGGGTAATAAACGGCTGTCCTTTGGACGCAGGGGGGGGGGCGAGTCTCTGGGGAACGTGGAGATGGGTAAAGGCCGCAGAAATGCCAGCGGAAATGGAGATGAGCCACTTCCTGCTGTAAACATCCTCCCGGCCAGACGAGTGTGCAATTAGAGAGAGCTATGATTTGACTATTTATAATCTCAATTTCCATCTTAAACCATTTATTTGATATGGGTTAATACTTCAAACCTTTTTGTTACTTTGACAAGATACAAAAATGTTGGTGGGGGAGATTTGACTAAGACATTTTGTACACACATGACTGAATATAGCATAACTGCATTCCTCAAAATGTTTGGGCAAATCTAAAAATGACTTCAGATGTGAGGTTCACGAGTGAATAACATCATAACTTGGTTTAAAAACAGCCTCACCCAATAACCTCCATATTGAAATCATTGTCTCTATAGCATATTTTCAATGGTGCCACAATGCTGCCGAATCACCATCAAGCACAGTAAATGATGGAAAAAGCTATCTCAACAATGCCCAATAAGGAAGTGCTCATGGACAAAGCTTTGCTCCAACTTGGTCTGGCTTCAATTCTCCTTTTAACGCTGATGTTGTCTTGGTAAAGCCAGATATGAGTCTAAGGATATCCCAATCACGGAAAAACTCTAGTTTGCCTTTGTTAGCTCCAGCTAGTGTAAGTTCAAATCGACTTCTCCCACATTTGGCAAATACAATGGTGACGTCAGCACACAGTTGGTCCATTCCTAAAATACAGTACAGTCTATGGCATAGAGGAGTGTCAACCTAGAGGATGAATCAAGGTTTTTGAGCTGTAAAAACATCCCAAACTAAATATTTATTTCGTACTGAGGTGAATTTGACAACAAGATCTGCATGGCAACAAGCAAATCCCAGACCTTTCATTCACACAATCAAAAATTAGGCATGTGAATGAAGAAGTTATTGTGAAAGTAATTAAAATATGTTATTTATGTTTCCACAAATTCTTACAATCATTAGTTGTTGTCCTCAAGACTCAGTAGGAATCAAATAAAACATCACGTTTATCTCTTCTCCTGACTCCCAGTATCACCACCGGACTCTGGTCGGGGCTTTCTCCACCTGGGACCAGACACAATCTGATGGCAGCCGCAAACACAATCTGTAATCTAAGTAATATCAGAGCGACAGTGACGCAGCTGCATCCCAGACTTTCTTCATCTTTGCAAAACGAGCCGCGGTATTAAACTGCTGTAGGAGAGGATTCAGGGCAGATTTATTAAGTCTGATAACAACTGGTAAGAACTGAGATAACCATTTTGGAATGTTGTGTCTGATTTAGATTTGTCTGACACATCATCCAAAACAATTCTCTTTATTCATTATTATCTTGTGCATTTGACCCATCCTGAATGCCACTGGGGCCCAGGAACCCATCTCCAAATATTAATACTCTAGACAATTTAAACTATTACCACTATGTTTTTATCGGCAGGGGAAACCAAAGACAAAACTACACAGACACAGGGATAACATGCAAACTATAGTCAGAAACACCCTGTTCTGGCGATGATCCGGGACACTCAAACATTCTACAACATTTTTATGGACATTGGTCAACTCCCCCTATGGACCGATACCAATGTGTGTCCTATACTTTTTGTGTTTAAACGGTTTGATTCTCTGATCTGTGTTGGCAATTTCAACGATATTGTTAAGTCCTTTAAGATGACTGTTGTGATTTAGCGCTATACAAGAATACTGTACATTGAATTGAAATTGAATTGAATTGTTCCGACTAGGACTGGAAAACTGGACCTTCTTGGTCACCAATGAGCCGTTGTCGGATGAGATATTAAAATTGAGATTCCTTGTGTCACTAGTTTTCACATTGGCCTCTGTCATATCCTTAGATCAGCTTGATTAGTGAAAAAGAGAGTACTTTTGGATTCTTTCAGCCATGTGGTGATGCCAACTGTAAACTGTGCTATTGGGGCCTATTACTTTTCTTCTACTGGCCCATTTCACACACAGCCTCTGGGCCAATACAAATTAGCAAGCCACATTAGGCTAGCAAACAATCATGTATACATCCTTCTTTTGAACATTTGAAGCTGCTTTATTGAGTGTTCATTTAATCTTCTGAGGGGAAGTGTTTCTGTGGTAATGAACACTGGTTCCAAATGTTGACTTTATGTTGACAAAATTGTTTATGAGGGAGAAAACCAATCTTTGTAATCTGTTGGATTTAATTATTTGGTCAGAAAACCCCCGACTAACGACAAAATGAAATACAAATGCTGACATGTCCCCGACCTCTTGAATGAACTTTATGTCTAATTGATTAGAAGCGGCACAAACGTGTCCCTGCTGCCGCCCAACGGAGGGGGTCCATCTGTTCCACCGCGAAAAACACAAACGAGAGGAAACGAGATGGAGGAAGAGCTGACACCGGTGCGAGCGGATCTTACCCAACACTGACACTCTTTTATTTATCATCAGATACAGGGAGGACAGTAATGGTTTAAGTGCACAGATGCAGCAACAGGGGTTCGATTTAGATGGAATATTTAGATTTTTCCTCTGTATTGCATGGTGCATATATACAGTATATTAGGCAGTATATTTTTCTGCTTTTATTAGTCTTAATACTAAATACTGAGTCAAATGTGGAGATATTTTCAAATTTCCTGGAACAATTCTATTTATCTATTGAAGGAGGATGAATTTAAAACATCAACTTCAGATACTGTACATATTCTACAGTAATTAACACTCAAAGCTGAATGGCCCATTGTAATTCTCAGTGAATCAACAAACATCCATAGTTGGCAGTCAGTACTGTGAAATGTAAATAATTAAAGTGTTTTTAATGATATTGTTTAATGAGCATTGGGTGACAGCTCTGATTGACACCCCACCGACCCAGAAAGGGACTAATAAAGGGGCAAAACATTATTGAATGAATTTCATTTCATTTCATTTGTTATGGCTACAAGATTAATCACAATCGAATCATTTCTAGTGGTCAAAAGACTGAAATTATTTACTTATTAATAAAGATAAGCCAACATCTTATTTTAAGGGCATACACATCTTTTTCCATTGAGGAATTGACAGATTTAAAATGACGTATTAAAGGGACAAATGTGTTATAATTTAATACCAGGGAATCTATCACATTTAGGAGAAAAAACCCTGAAAGTTTACTCAAAAAATTCTGAAATGTGGTGTAATTTTGAAAATAAATTGCATCATGTTGTCCTACTGTTCACAGATTTTAACCATATCATATTTGCTCTAAATATATAATAATGAGCCACAGGTGCCATAGAATAAAGCGTTCTGTCATCTGGAGACGATAAAGAGATTGAGTCAAAACACTTCAGAATAATCCTCAGATGCAACACTTAAAAGCCAAAAATAAAGTCCATTTCTATTTGATATCTGTATATGTCAGACAGACGCATGCTGTGTCTTATGAGAAAGCATATCCTACCCTTTAAAATGTTTGAAATAGTGGTTTTATCTGCAAACAATTCTTAATTTCTTGTCCAATATGGCATTTAAATACAATATGGGTTCAATAAGAGAGGATGTGATTTGTTTTTGTTTTTTTTAAATCCAGGCCGGTTTAATCTCCTGTTTATATGTAGATTACTTTGCATTTTCCTCCTGAGAAATAACCTTTACAGTTCTATTTATCCAAGCCTGGGAGTGACCCTCAGAGAGAATGACTCACCCTATTTCACAGTAACATACAGTAAAGAAGTTGTTTCTGAATCACCGGCTGCGTGAGGCCGTGTGCGATCTCCCTGCTCCATAGACAATGACTGCACGAAGCGTAGGTGTGTTCCTTCCCAATATAATATCATCCAGTTATGACTAAACTATGCCTAAAGATTCACAAAATGCTCAAACGCCACCTCTGCAAACTATTTGTGGATGTAGACAAGTTTCAATACACAAAAAAGAATGTGTTTTTGATGTTTGTCCCAAAATTACCATATCCCAACGCCGCCCATTCAGAGATACACACAAAGACAATTGATTTTTTCCCTTTTGGATGGTGGACAAACAAAAGGGTACAATGGTCCAAATATGAAGCTGGTTTATTTCATGTTGCATCTATATCTGCTCAAAAATAATGAAACTCAAAGTGAAACCTCACAGAAATATTAGGAAGTATTTGCAGTGAGAATTGACTGCTCCTTATAATGCTAAAGCTAGAGATTGCATTTTATGTTATTTTATTTAGTAGAGAGTCTTGTATAGGGTATAGAGTTTAGTATAGAGCTGTAATAATTCATCTTCTCCTGTGTTCTCATTCCTACTGTTCTGTAACCGGTGATGCAACACTGAAATTTCTTAATCTGATCTCTTGATGTTAATGCACAGAATACTAATTGTAAGCAACTGTACATAGAATGAGATATTTTGTGGGTTATAAGAATACAGTTACTCTCCTACAATCAATGGAATTCATGGAAGTATTCTATCGTACAAATATGGATTGAAAATGGACAGAATTAGTGTGACATTTGTGGGAATAATGATTTATGCATGATGACTAGATTACTATTTCCTTCTACGGCAATAGGCCTGCATCTCTACCTGTTTGTGTTACTGTTTCCTTGTTATGTAAAGCACTTATATTGCCTTATGTGTGCAATACAAAATATATATGTGTAAAACTAGGCCTGTTTGTTTATCAACCACTACAATGTCTTGTTCAATAATTGAGAGATTTTGGGGCTCAATATTTATCATGTGTACATTTTATTTGACTCGCAGGGTGTAAATGTACTGACTTTTTTGTAATAGTATTAAGTTTGAGTCCAAATAGTTCAAAGTAACTTTTAAGGGTACATAAGGCTTAATTCTGCTGTTTATTTTTCTAATAGAGATACTGCTGTATAGAGATCATCCTGTTGTATTGTACTATCAAACAGTGGCATTGAGTAGTTTCAATAATATAATTTAGCACAAGAATTTTCTGAATCAATGTGACAGAACTGTGTAGAACCTGTGCATAATATTCAAGTTAATTAATAGCTGCCCGAAAGGGGGAAAATTATTTATAACATGATTGTAGTTGATCACAAAAAAGCCTATCGCTTGGCCATGTTTTCAAAATGTCATTTTTATAATTGTTTTAATTGTAATACAACATTCTGTAACTATATTTATGTTCAAAATATACTTCCCGGCACTGAATTCAACCACATTGTACTTAATCTTACACATTTGCACATCGATTATATACAAATGTCACTATGACCAACATTTCATTATATTGTTTCTAATCTCAGTTATTATTATTATTATTATTTTGTTTACATTATTTTTCTACACCACTTTCCAAGCACCTCACTATTTTAAACATATCACATTTTAACCATAACAATTTCAATTAGTAACGAGGTTTATGACACTAAAGTAAACTGTACCTTTACTTTTCCGAACCACAAAACGCAGTGGCTATTTCTGAACGACAACAGCAAAACCACATCAAACTATATTTCGATTATTGGACCATTTTAAACAAAGAAAACCCAAGTCTTTCGTCGTGATGCGCTGGAACAACCTGTTAATCCTGCGAAGTGTCAAAGGGAGCGTGCATTTCCACTAGGCGCGTGTTATTTGCGTCTCGTCACGTACTCTTTCTCACAAAATTATATTACATTATTATTACGTATTAATTTGTGCGTTTTTTTTTCTTACCTGCGCGTGGGGATGGTGCTCAAACATGTCCATCTGAATCTCCTGGGTGGAAGTGGAAGGCGTCCTAGACATACTACTTTTCTGTACCATTGATTTAACTTTTTACTAAATCTAAGCTGTTTCCGGGTGGTGATTCGGGTTTTTAAGACGCGCTCGGGATTGTCATGTTAGTATTTTCTTGTTTTTTTTCCTGCTGGAGACGCGTCTGAACGCTGATGGGGATAATAATGGCAACAGCTGCCTCTCTCCACCGGGGTTTACGATTCAAGTAAAGAGCGGGATAGACCAATATAGCACTTCCGGTTTGTCTTTTCAAAATAAAGGTACACGTTGCTTTTTTTGAAGCTGGGGTACCCAACCACAAACCACAATAAATGGAGCGTTAAAACATTTTGGTTTAAATCAGTATGTATTTTGGGCCCTGTCACGTCTTTAGAGCAGCCGGTTTCGGACAGAATGTATGTTTGAGATGTTATACTTGCTTCTTTATTATGCAAAATAGATTTTTATTTTTTTATTTTAGTGTATAATTATTGTTCATTTATCTTGAGTGCTCCTCATTTCTACTGTTCTGTAACTGGTGATGCAACACCGACATTTTTCTACTGTGGACGAATAAAGAATCTCTTAAAAACCAAAAACCAACCTCACTCATCTCTCAGCCCAAAGCTTTAAATGGTGACTCACAGGGATCTTTCTTACAAGTTTGAAAATATATTTCTACATTCTTGAAGACTTTTTCAAGAATGTTGTGGTCTGATTTGTTCACAAAATCTTACTCGTACAAGACTCTTCTGTTGGTACATTTTAATTATTTCTATGAAAGAAAAGTGAAGTTCCGCAGCTGTAGTATTTATCTATATCTACACCTCTATGATCATAAAGTATTGTCTGTTTCCATCTTTGAACCTCTGTGCAGGACAGATATGCTGACCATAATACACAACAATAGGAAAAACATAGTGATGGGAAATGGATTTTTCTAAAACTAGAAACATTTTTCTGGTAATTCACCCCTATTCACCCCTAACACACATCAACTTGAAAACGATCACACATCAACTGGAAAATGTGTCAAAATTAACATGATCAAGATACTCAAACATTTTACAAAATGTGTGGTTATAGTCAATATCTTGTTTTTTTTCTCTCAACCTCCTCTTATTTTGAAACGAATAATGTTCTTATTTCCGGTCACTTTGTCGCGTTGTCTCTTCTCTTGACCACTTTTCTTCCTCTGAGCGCACAGACTCCAGCTGGAGCCCGGTCCACGCCCCGCGCCTCTGGTCCCACCTTCAGCATCGATTCGCGGAACGACAGGGCCGTGTACGTGTGGGGGACAGGAGGGCAGGAGGACAGGTGGATTTGGTCCTGGTCCCAAGTGTCTGACACGGTCCAGGGATAATGAAGCGTCACATGCTCTCGATCTCTTGGAATAAAAAGGATTGAGGAACATTGTTTTACTATTACCCAAAGCAAAGGTGGGCAACCTTTGCGTTTGGCGGTCAGTTTTTGTTATTAGATCTATAAATAAAGATTGTAACAAATGCCACTTACGACCACATTCGCAATATTTTTTCTCCTACTATTTGTTGTTGTTGTATTTAATGGTTGTCACAGATTTGTTGTGTTTGTGTTGAATTTCAATTAGGTGAGGAATTGTCTCTTTTGATTCAAGACTCTATCAGCCGATTTTTTGACTTAACAAACTAAATATTGCCCTTAATTGAAAGATTCCCAGGACTCCACTTGGTTTACGGTGTACGTATACTACTAAAACTAAAACTAAAACGGAGTTCATAGATTGAATCCATAAACTGTATTCTGAAATCATGCCGATGTCGCTCTCCAGTGGCCGTTCTGTGGAAGCAGCGTGTGCCCATAATTCTTACCCATAATGCACTTGCTAAATCTGGATTGTACCAACAGATTTTGCAGGTGTTTCAAAGAAATTATAACTTTTACGGCACGTGTTTTCAAAACATAAATCAACTACACTGTATAGAAATGAAGCCAATACTTTACTTTTTATTCAAACGTGTGAAGAATAACTCGAGTACACTGTTATAAACATCATGTTTGTGAAGCGGTCCCAGTGGCACGGTCCTTCACAGTGGTTTATTCCAGCTCGTCTCTGGATCCATCCTTTCCCCGTTGAAGTAGCAGCCATGAGGTACGTCCACGTTTACTCCACAAGAACATGGATAAATAACGTCAAAACACAGTCGGTCAGTAACATCCACGCACTTGGAGGATGTTATACAGTCCCACAATCAAACTGAATGAGTTTAGACATACTCAAAATGATCGAATAAACCTCTATTTTCTGATCATGAGCAGCACGTTGTGGCTCAGGAGAAGCCATGTTGTCAACCCGGTTAGCTTTAGCTCAGCAGCTAACATTTTCATGATCTCCTAATATTCTATCTCCATCTGTACAAACGCTGTCAATGACCCTGACACAATGGTGTTGAAAGGGTACAGGGGTTGACTTGTGTCCGTAGTTGCAGCATGCTCAGGCTCCAGAAGAGGCTGGCCTCCAGCGTTCTGCGCCTGCGGCAAGAAGAAGGTCTGGTTGGACCCCAACGAGACCAATGAGATCGCCAACGCCAACTCTCGTGAGTGAAACCCTGAGCAGCCTGTTGAAATTGTCCATGGAAAATCTAAAGAATAAGGGGACAGGCACACCTGCTTTGGTCTGGACTCATCTGTCACTTGGGTGATACTGACTGGTTCATCCATTCTCATTACATGTCAATAGTCCAAACATAGACTCATGCGTCCCAGTCTCTCAATTATTGTAAGTAACCAGTAACAAATATATTGTAAGTAACCAGTATTTTTAAAGGTTCAGTTTAGTAACCAATAAATGAATCAGTCCATCCATTTTCTACCCTTTAATCCATTTCTGGGTCAGGGGGGTGGCAGTCAGAGATGCCACCCAAGTCTCATAGCACCAGCCCCTCACTGACCCTCTGCAGGTGGTGAGTCCACAGGAGCATTCAGTGACGCATCAGTGACGAGGCTCATCAAATGCATCCAGTGACGAGGCTAAATTATCTTTCACCATATTAGACTACATTTCTTCATATATTCTATTTTTTTCAGTGCTTACAAGGACAAAGGGTATTGCAGTTACATTTTGGGAAATGCAAAATCCTAAACATGATCTAGCCAATTTTGGGATCAAAATTGCGCGGTTATCTGAATTTTTATATTTAGTCGTTTAACCTGCTGGTTTATGCCCTAATGTCTCCCACACATCCTTAGCGACCCCTATATCAAGCTCACTGGTCGGGGTTTCTTACCAATAACAGACCAACCGTATCTTGTCCCTAACCAATAAATAGACAGACTCGATAATTTCTCCCGTGTGACCTGCTACCCATGGAAATACCTCGACTTTTACCACCTCCCTAACATCATATAACATCCCCCCATCTATTCATCATTTCCCCCTCCTCACACACCCCCCATCCCTACCATACCTTCCATGATTGACAAAATTAAACATTATCCCACACTCTAAAACACCACCTCCTTTTTATATTAATTATCCTCTCATTCCAAACCCCCACCTCCCCACCAATCCCACCCATCCAAACATAGTTTTAATCTCAAATTCACTCTCCGCTCCCAATTTTCCACCCATACATCACACCCTATCATTTCCCCAGCCCCAACTTCTCCCCCCCTTTACTCCACTACACCCCCAAACCCACCCCCCAACCTCACCCTCCATTCAACAATCCATCCCACTTTAATAACACCTAACAAAAACCCCCCCCCTCCCCCAATCTCACCCCCTCCCATCAAATATACACCACCTTCATTTTTCTCCCCTACTTTCCAACCCCTCCTTAACCCCTCTACCCACACCCCCAAACCCCCCTCACCCCTCCTCCCAATAAACACCCCCCCACCAATTTCCATAACCATAAAACTTCATATCCAAACCCCCCCCATACTCCCCCACCAAATACCCAAAACCCCCATCCCCCCCACTCCACACATCCTCACCATACTTACAACATATCCCTCACCAAAC